GCACACGGGCCCTCCGAGATTTTTTGCCCTTGTCCGAAAAGGCTAGATGTAGATCTTTCCTACCAGAAGATAAGGGGTGTGGCAGAAAGACAGCTGTAAGGAGGAGCCAAGGAGTAGCAGTAGAAAGGCTGCAGAAGAGTCAGGAGCCCAGAGGAGGGGGCAAAGGAGGGGAGGGGGAGGGGGCAGAAAGTGGAAATGAAAGCAGATAACAGAACATTGCTAGAGAGCAGGAAAGGAGGTGACATTTTAGAGAAGAAAATTTTTCGGTCGCTACCCGGATTCGAACCCGGGACCTTTGAATGAGAGGCCAACACCTTAACCTCTAGGCCACGAGAGCCCCGCAGTTTCTTTATCTCTTGTATAGGCTGTAAGTGCTCGAGAAATATGTTGTCAAAAACTTGAATCTTAAATGTAATAGTAGGTAGGCCCACACATGTTAAAAGAATGGAGACGTTTTTTCTCTCTTTTGAAAAAAAAGTTGTTTTTTCTAAACATAGAACATTTGAACAGCTTGCCAACATTATTGTTATTATTGTTATTATTATTATTATTATTATTATTATTATTAGTAGTAGTAGTAGTAGTAGTAGTAGTAGTAGTAGTAGTAGTAGTAGTAGTAGTAGTAGTAGTAGTAGTCGCAGTAATCTATATATAATAATATATGATATGTATTATGCATTATATTTATATATTTATAATATATACGAGTATAAATAATATTTATTTGTATTATATGTACTTGTATATATATATTTATATATACATATATAGTATCTCTGTGTGTGTGTGTGTGTGTGTGTGTGTGTGTGTGTGTGTGTGTGTGTGTGTGTGTGTGTGTGTGTGTGTGTGCGTGTGTGTGTGTGTGTGTTTGTGAGTCTATAATATATATTTATTTAATATTTATTTTATATATACACATAATATAATAAGTGTCAAAGAATAAGCAACTGGTTATCTATTAAGTAATGTGCTAGAGAATAACACCAGTATTACATCACAAATACGTATCTTGTTATATAACAAGCGATTTGTTTCAAAATTTCTCAGACTGATTAGATGAACAAAAGGTAATCAGCTGCGATGCAAGTGATATATTGTGTACATGGTTGTATAATAATTATCGATGATTATCCAACCGTAATGTTGAACACCAATAAATACGTTCGATGAGAACGGAAAAGCAAATTATCTGGGATTTCATATTATACTGGCGGAAGATTACTGAATGTTACAGAAACAGACGTACTTACACAATTTCTTATACTTTTGAATAACCTTGCAGTCAATTCTTTCTTTCTGTTTCATGCTTGAGTCTTGGTGCTATCTTGATTTTTCTTATGATTTTTTCATTTGTCAGTTGGGAGAAACAAGATTGCTATTTCAACTATTTTTTAAATATTCTATTTTATTATATCTCTTTTTGTATGTTGTTTGATTTCTTTTTAATGTATCTTATCATCTTATTATTTTTAAAAATTATTTATTTATCTATTTATCTATTTATTTGTTATTTTTGTTAAAATTTATTTGGTATTCATTTATTTATTTATTTATTTATTTATATTTTTATTTATTTATTTATTTATTCTTTGTTTTTTGTGTTTTTTAGGGGGGGGGGGGTCATCTAAATTATTGATCAAAAAGGAATGTAAAGTTGGTGCTGTTAAGTTTCTATCTGCTCTTAAAATAGAATTTAAAAAGCAAACTCAGAATGAAAAGAGAAGATACCTTTTTGGCGTTAGCGGCCATCATCTGTTCCTCGTGAAGTTGCCGCCTCTTTGTTTTGTACCGCCTGTTCTGGAACCAGATTTTCACCTGGAATGAAAACAGAACTAACCGTAAAATCTAGAATGTGGAAGACAAAGAGTTGCAAAACTTGGAACGGCTAACAATAATACAGAGCAGTATACACCGGAGAAGAGAATTGATCAAAATATTTTATTTTGTGAAATGAAACAGGTGGAAAAGGGTCGAGAAGTAAAAGAAAAGAGAAAACCCGTAGATGCTAAGCTACAAACCCTCACCGAGTGGTATCGCGTGTCAGATTGTTGTTTGTTTGTTGGCTACTGTTGTGTTGTTGTTGTTCTTTGCTTTGGGTGTTTTTTTGGAGGGAGGGGGGAGGGGCGTTTCTTTCTTTTGTGTGTGTGTGGTTTTGTGGGGGG